TTCTTGGTTTTAGTGGGGGAGGGTATTCCAACTCCCAGTCACTCTTACTTCCTCTCTGTTCCATGAGAGAAGACTCGTGGCGAGACTCCATCATGTAAGTAGCAAGCAGAGCATCTCATACGGGGGCGTGTCCTGGCACGGAGCTGCTGGTGCCTCCCCCTGCCCCGCTGCGAGAAGCCACCTTAGATTACAAGGCCCAGCGTGCCACGGGCCCAGGTGCCACGCCCCAGCGTGCCACGGGCCCAGCATGTCATGAGCAGACTTCCTGCCCCGCCGAGAAGCCAGTGAAGCTCTGTTACGAGGAAGGCGGGGTGGCTCTTGGCCTGTGTCTGCAGCCTTTGCTTGTGCCGGAGACTGCGGGAACTGACAGGCGGTGCGTGGCGGTGAAGCCCAGGGACGCCTGGGAGAGACGTGGGCCGGCCGCGTGAGAAGGCTGTCCTGGGAGGGCGGGCCGGCCGCCCTCTCGCCTGAGACCTGCCGGCCTCAGAAGTTCCTGCCAGCAGGTGCCGACCCGTGGCAAGCTGTCCGGCCTCCGTGGCCCTGCTTCAGGCCGCTCCGCTTGGTCTGGGCGTTTGCCCGAGAGGAGAGAGATGAGGGGCGGGGTGGGGTTCTGTCAAAGCCCCCCCGCTAGGAGTCTGCTCCCATTGCCTCTGCTCGGGGGTGCACCCCCGAAGTTGGGGTCCCCTCCCTGTCACTCAGTCACGCGCTAACAGAGACCCCAACAATCAGAAAATTTATACAAAATGTGGGAAAGCGGTAACGTTTTCTAGATTTTACTTCCTTTCCCACGTTAAAATGTTAGCATTTTTGTTATCGATGCGACTTGTTTTACACCAGCCGTTCCCGGACTTAGCAGGAACCACAACAAGTTTGCTCAGACTTTATTTTACATATTTAACGTTTCGCTTTGCATCTCCATAGCGTTTCCCCCTTAAAGGAGAAAAATGCCTTTAAACGTCCGCGGAGGCATGAAGGTGTCCGCCGCCGATGTGCTCAACACAAAATTCAGGTTAGAAACCCTGAAAGTCTGACTGCTTCGCAGGACGTGCGCCTTTGCCAC